CGCTGCCAGCGTAATTCGACACAGCAAGAAGGGAACACGTTTTTCACGAGGTAAAGAATTTGTAATGTGTGATATTTCTTTTTGTGTTCATTTAAAGTTAAGTTATTCGGTATGAAGAGAAGAGGAATAAGCTGAGATTTTAGTGAGAGATAGAAAGTGGTACAACTTGAGTAATGATAAAAAGAAAGTATAATGTACGCTGATCAGGAGGATCACCATAAGTTCCCACCTTTCATGCTAATTATTTGAGGTGTATTTAGCGCATCCTAGACTACGTCCACGTAATTTATTTCTTGAGCTCTCTTACACCTCAAGCCATTCTGCCTATACAGATGCTTTATTTGGGCCCGCCTCTTAAAAACCACCTAAATTCTGCTGTGAGCCCCATGAAATGCGCTGCCTTACTTCGGGGACAGAGGGTGACTATTCTGAAATCCATTCTTTTCCCTGTGTTTGCTCGGCCCATACAAGCATATTTGCTATTGGGAGAATGTTGGCCACTCAGGTGGCCCGAATGGTGCCGGTTCCTTTGCTGAGCTCGGCAATTTTATTGCTAATTGATCAGGTTTTCCGGCATCGCGCATGTGTGAGTATACCCCCAGGTAACGACCGATATTCTCCGAGGCTACCCGCAGAGCGTCATATAGTGTCTTGCCCAAGTGTGAAACGTATAGATTTTCTACTGCAATGTCGTTATTTCACTTCTTGCGTTAATCCAGCGTTGGCTGGAATTCACACGCATCCCGCTGCACTGCTCGCAGTACGTCAATGGTGCGGCCGATAGGCCGGTTCCGCAAAGGATTGGCTAGCATTCTGACCAATCAGGACATGCCTTCTTCTGCTCCGTGGCCCGTACGAGGTTGTGCTAATGGCATCAGCCATCATAGGTGAAAAATCTAAAAGTTGTGGTAATAGCGATAGTGGTGCCCGTTTTAAAATAGGTGACTAAAGTAGGTGAGGCAACTTAGGAGGAATTAGACTGATCGTTATAGCCGGACCCTGCGTCGCCTATCACAACAGAGCATGCCCTTGCTTGTATTCACCAACTTGCGGGTGCGTGAGATTTTGTGAGGAGCGCCGCAGTATGTTTACTTTAAGGGCTTCCGAGAAAGGATAGAAAATGATAACATGACGGCCACTGACGTCGGTTAGCTGCCATATAGTTTAGTGTTCCCAGCCAAACAGAAAGTGGGTTACTCGAAAGCGGATACACCCACACTTTTCATAACGTCCTTCCTTTCCTTCTGTCCACCTCCGCTTTCCACTACTTCTAACTAGGCACAGAAAACAGCACTCTTCTTGACACGTGGTACCTTGGCATGCGTAAAACATGACCCAGCCAAATCACCTTGCAGTACTGCTTCACCAAACACCCTGCCTTTTGGTTACCCATTCCGAATTCCTTTGTTCCAGCGGACTCATGGTATGGTTCTGAGGAACCGGTGGTCTATGACCTGATGTCGGAGACGTTCTGCTTACTGTATTCAGGAATGACCTTGCATCCCACAACTAGTGCCTGTGTACCTTATTTGCCCGTATCTGGGAGATGGAGACTTCCAGACAACCGGACTGAGTCGATAACGGTGTCCATTTTAAAAAAGGATACTCATAGTCAATGTATCAGTTTGGCTTGCGTTGTTGCATTTGGCGTCACTGATTCTTCGTCGCCTCACGGTGCAACCAGAATTTTCGAATCTTGTGAGCATTAAGCGGGATTTCAACCTGATAGAGACTGCGTCCAACACATCCCCGCACTCATCAGGTGTATAGACAACGCCAGATGTACAGACGACCCACAATATTGGCATGTGTCATGTGTGTGTTGTGTTCGATTCTGTCGATCTGTCAGTGCTCTCAACCAGTTATTCAACAGAGAACGCTCTGGAAGTTTGAGCATTATTCGATCCCTATACCCATACTTCTGGGCGTGTGAGACTGTTTGGTGAGTCCTAAGGGCTTCCTGGAGGAAGCAGCGTCTGACAAGGATGTCCGCTTTCTCCTTTGTTCTCGAGCTTCTTCATTGTTGTACTAATGAGGTCTAGGAGGTCCTAAAAACCTCGTTGTTCAAGTCGTCGGTGGTGAGGTCTTTGTCGATCTGAGGTATGCAGGGGACATCTTCCTCTCTTTGAAGACGAGGGCAAAAGTGGGTGTTCTCAGTGCTACTCACCTCATAGGATGAGGACCGCGTGACCCTCATTGCGCCCTGTTGGAGGTGTTGCAATATATGGCTGCTAATCTATGTCAATGGCGTTCTTGTTGTCAGTTTCTATCCAGATTGCCTTAATGTGTGGCTGGGGTATAGGGACCTGGGAATAATTGTAGTATGGTAGCACGAGGTCACTTCGCTATCCACCATTCTTTTCTTCACCATAGGGCTTTCAAACAAGTCGTAGTTGTACGGCAGCGAAGCATCGCTTTTGACTACCGATATTATTCTGTCCATGGTGGTGTTGTTGGCCACCATCATACCATTTTTCGGCATTCGCTTGCACCTTCAAAGTGCAAAGCCATACTTCGGAACCTCTAGTCTTTGAACGTACCCCTTACAATTTAAGGACAGTCACTGGAGGTTGTGAAGAACTTTACATAACCCAGTAGTTGTATTAGCTCTAACGGAAATGTGTCTGATGAAATCAGTGCAGAATCACGTTTGCCAGTTTGTGCTACTTGTAGCGTAAAAACGGCGTATCACTGAGTCTCAAGGGTCACATGTACCAGGTTGCTTTAAGCGTTGTATTGTTGTATGGTTGCGAGACATACCCTCTGTGGACGGATTATATGATGCGTCTTGGTGTTTTTACTACTGATGCCTCAGAAGCATTGCTGGGGTTGGATGACTTCAACGAATTCGTAACGAGGTTACTAAAAACGGGTATTTGGTTGTGCAGTAGGTGCTTCAGTTGCAAGGAACATCCAGCAACACGAACTGCGGTAGATCAGCCATGTACTACGCATGCATCCCTCAGTAAGGCGCAAACCGCAAGGTGGATAACATGACTGGCAGAAGGGTGTTAAAGAGATTGTGGAGAGTTAAGGTGTTGTAGGTGTGGTCCGTCTTTCGGTTGGAGTCCCCATGGCTCTTTTTCCTTTAATGGATAAAGACTTCAAGAAATCGGTAATGTGTTGGAATATTGGAAGCTCGGGTGTATTAGTTGATAATTGATCAGGTGGCTGTTGATCTGTTCGCCGAGCGTGGCAATTGATTTGCAAACGTTTCGTCGTCATTCGAGGAGACATCTTCAGCGCGCTAAAGATATATACTAATGTACCAAAGGGGGATTCGTTAGAAATAGCCAAGAGGACACCACCCTTTCAGAACGGACACAACTTACGGTAAATAAAATAGTGGAAGGTATGAAAGCATGTTTTAATCTCACGCACTTCGTTTTTTGACTCAGCTATTTATACTCAAGAACCAGGTCTAGCAATGAGATCCCCAATATACCCGGTTTTGGCAAATATATTTACGGAAGAATTTGAACAAAAAGCTTTAGCAGGATTCCCATACCCAACTAAGATATTCTGGCGATATGTAGTGAGTTTTACGACCATCTGAATGAACTGAGTCCACAGGTCAGGTTTAGTATGGAGATAGAGTCAACTTTGGGTACACTGGTGGGTATTCCCCAGAATCGCCTCATCAATGTTTAGGTGTGTAAGGGCCCTGTTCACAGAAGAAGCTGATCGGACAGCGGCCCAGATTGAAGTAAAGAACAAACTTCGGGGTAGTGGATATCCAGCTAGCTTGATTAGGCGTCATTTGCGAAGGGTGTTGGTACCGATAGCGAAGTCCAACAGGGAATGGATCGGGACCGCTGTCATTCCATATAAACCAAGGATATCGGAGGTCATTCGAGGAATTCTAAACACGGTTAGCACAAGAGTAGCTTTCCAGAGGGGGAACACTTTTCGCTCTGCACTGGTGCATTTGAAGGATCGCCTCCCGCCAAACAGAACTAGGGACTGTGTCTACAAAACCAAGTGTAACGACTGCATTAAGATCTATATAGGACAGACAGTCAGGGAACTTCACATCAGAATCGGAGAGCATAAGGGAAAAAAATAAACAGGTCGTCGAGAAAGGCGGACGAATATCAAGCGTTACTGAAAGACTCGGCAATTGCGGAGCATGCATTGGACACTGGACACAAAATAGATTTAGAAAATGTTGAGGTTTTAAGGCGAGGACCACGATCAACGTCAGAGACTAATAGCCGAGGCGGTGGAAATTTCCAGGCATCCCAGTGTTAACAGAATAGAAGGCGTGGAACTGGCAAGCATGTGGAGAACGGTTTTGGATCAGTCGAGCTGACCCGTGTTGGTGTGCGGTCATCAGAAGGAGGAGTAGTCATCATCCGAATTCCACTTGACCTCCGCCTTCTCCCAACTAAATTGTCACAGCACTCACAACCCCACAACGACCAAGGAAATCTATCAGCGGTAACCGCGGTAAATCATCCATTGAAGCGCAGTGAAGTGGAAGATTAAGGAAACAAACCCGATGAGAATTAATTCGAAACTCCCCCAATCCATCAACACAAGATTTTGACAACCGCACTAACTGACAAGAGCCGTTAAAATTGGCACTCACACTGACCTAGTGTGACAATCTGAGGAGGACTTACTGATTGGTTCCCCGTCTGTCTTATAACCTGGCCAATTTGGTGACTTGCTCACTTTTCCTGATGAAAATTTTGTGTCAAAGCAAAACGTTGCCCAAATAAAAACTACCGACTGTTTACCAAGCTGTTCTGAAACGATGACTTCTCAATCGGTTCCAAACGTTTTTCAATTGATTGAAGAGCACGAGATGGTTGTTTGTTACGAAAAACACGGTCGGTCAGTGTAACAAAAGGTGAGGCGGGCAAGTTTTTACTCATGACAGAGGTTCACGTGTCACTTGAAGACTCGAACTTTTTCGCAAACGAGATCATGCGCACTCCTTAAACTGTCGGTACGACAGGAATTACGGGATTACCAGTCGCTTTCTCAGTCCTTACCTGACGTCCCATTAGTCCGCCAAGTGCTTTGACAGATTCCGTTTTTCCGGTTCCAGCTGGGCCGTATGGATTGCCTCCAAGCCCCATCCGCATAGCCTGAGTCAAGGTCAGATAGCATTTGTCCGTCAGAGGAGTATGAACAAGTCGTCGGGCGTTACCTTGATACTCGAAAGTATACACAAATTCGGCATCCACCATGCAAACTCGAGGGGCGGAGAGGCTTGACGATTTACCAGAAGGGCCCCCATAAAAACGAAGTTGACGTTGCCAAGCCCAGTCACGTGTGGTAGCTGCCCCGGCTTGAATGAGTTGATCAGCGACATCGATCATGTGAATAGTGTCCAGGATAAGGGTACTGAGTTTCGCAGCCATCACAAGGTTACCAGTTTGTGTCACTGTGTTGTCGTCTAGTGAGTTGTCAGCAGAAGCACCGGTGGACCTCAGTGCATTCAGATCCACGGATGTGTACGCAGCCAGTTGAGCCTGCATTGCAAAAAAGAAATTATTCAGACCAATAAAAGGAGGCTGGACGCTGAGAATAAATACTGATGAGCTAATTACATCGAAATGCTTTCGATGGGAAAAAATCGATTGTTTGGTTTGCCATCTGGTGTCAGAAGCGCTGAAAAACATGCAACACTATGTTTCACGACCCAATTTTGGCAAAATTGCATATATCGAAAACTGACAGAATCAAAAAGTTAATAATTCAACACAAACTCTGAAGCAGTCTTGAAGTCGATTCTTCGCATTTGTCGTGCCCTGGGTAAGCAGATTGGGTGGGGAGGCGACGGTAGAAGGTAGGTAGAGATCATCAAACTACCGATGATAGCATACAAGGTGAAAGTCAGGTGTGAATGCTCTGGTACCACACTAGTGTCTTACCTGGAGATCTTTTTTCAATACACTTAGCCGTCCACAACTCAGTGCTTCTTCCACATTCCTTGAAAAGTTTATAGCTTCAGCTAGTGTTAAAATCTGACCCGGATAGGCATTGGGATCCAACGAATGTTTTCGCCTATTTTCGATTGAACCAGCATCCAAGCACTGTGCGAGAAGTTCATTCAGAGTGGCTTGCATTCCGGTTGCCAATCGGCCAAGCCAAAGTTCTACTTCTGGTGTAAGCTGAATTGGTCTTTGCAGGCACACGACTTCTCCGTCCAAAGAACACATAGCTTTCAACTTCTTCACTTGGGCTCCGTTACTACGATTGTCTCCGTCCACTTCGAACAGAACATGATGTATACCCTGGAAAAGCTTACGAAGATGGGTTTGCACAACCGACGGATTAGTAGCCTGTCCGAGGATTTCCAACAAGTCATCATCACCGAGGAAGTAGAAGCGAGGAAACACGCTTCGCTTTTCCTCCAAGTACTCATTGAGAGCCCGCTGGCAACGGGCCAGCTGATCCTACAAATTAGGAAATTGAAGTAGGGAGCTTGGTTAAGAATAATGAAATTAATTTTTTATCACCATGTCTACTAAATGAACAGAAAAAAGTTAAAAAAAGTTGTCCTGGGGAAAAAACCCTTTTTAACCCTGTAAGAAACACCGTCTCGATCCATATCCTTCTAAACTATTTCGAGTGTACAGACTCAAGGTATTTGGAAAAAAGGTTCCCTTGCACTCAGATACTTTGGTGAGCAAGTACGCAGCACGCGGTGCGCTTGGTTAGCACTATTCAGAGCAGGTTTGCACTCGGAATTCGTCGGTTTCGGGTACATGTATCAGTGTAACGGTGATACTACTGATGGGGGAGGCATGCGAGTAGTCCGTTTTCTTGTAAATCCGCTTTGTGTCTCTTGAAAACTGAGCTCTATTGCGGAGTCTGTGGAGCCGCTTTGTAGCATTTGCTTGGACTTGAGAACAGTCAATGAATATCCAGGAAAGTTCAGGAAGACGCGTTCAAAGAGAGCATGGATATTCAGTTTTTGTAAACAAGATGCATCTGAGAGTTTTGCTTCCTTGTCCAATAATCTGTAACTGTTCAGTTGGCAGTTCCTAAAAAATGGCTCCGCAGTAAAAGTCTTCTCTCACCTCAGAGTTCACTAGTGTAATCACCTGAGTGGTCCAGGATCGACACTCACAGGAGTCGTTCAGTATCCACGGTCAGTTAGCATAGCATGGTTAGGGACAAAACACTTTGAAACCGAAGCCATTATGACATTCGCATACAGTTTGTTCTGTGGCTTTGGAGAATAATTCGTTGGAAACTTTAAGATATGGGTTTATTGATGCATACTCGTCATTCAGGCCGTTGCAAGCACGAAGGCTCAGATGCCACCAGCTTACGCATGTCTACATGTGGATCAAAACGTAAGAAAAATGATCGTGAACTGAAGAGTGATGAGGTTTATTGTTTACAGGGGATTGGGTGTATCAAATGGTGACCTAAGACAATATAGGTTCAACCCACAAAGGGACGCACCTTCAAGCTGGCTGTCAGCTCCTAGCTCGAAAAGTTGTACCTATGCCGTTTCGTTTCAACTAGATACTCTAAGACCATCGATTTGATGAACGCTTCAAGTCATCGAAGGCAGACTCCTCTCACTATTCCCAAGTGGAAAAGGAAGCAACGATACGTCTGTCACTTCACCACTGTAGAAATAAGTTTGAGTTGAAATCGTCTTCGTCACCGTCAACGATAACACCAGTGTTCAGCCCTAATGTTTCCTTCAGGTGGTATGGCAGCTGGGCACCAAAAGGGTGTTACAACTGAATGATTATCCTTTCTTTTTATTTGTAGTAATCTAAGGTGTGCTACTTAAACTACCATCCACTTTCCAAGAGTAAAGTATCACAAGCGAGGCACGCTCATGCTATTACGCTTCACGAAATTCGTAAAGATAGTAACTTAGGTGGGAATTTCGAACCTGTTTCTGATGTATATACATATTTTAAAGCGATCGTACACTGGTGAACATAAGGAATGGTGACCTTTGTCGAATCATCATTGCCTTCGTGTGGATATCAGATCTGAATGACAAATTTAATCCGGATCGCTGGTTCGATTACCTTTCTTTAGTTGAAGATTGCCTGCCTGGTGAGATCTAAATTACCAGGTATGAACAGGCCAACAAGTTAGCAATTGAGCGATGTGACTGAGTTGCCCGACACAATGTAAACTACGATTCAGTAACTGTCCTGGTTGTGTCGATCGATTGACCCGCCTATCAGGAGTTCCCAGTCAGGTAGAGCCAAAATTATGCACCGTTGATGAGCTCTTAAGAATGAAGCTCAAGTCTGGTGCTTCCCCCTTTAGGTGTGGACTCATCAGAATAACTGCACCAGGACAGCAGGGCGACTGTTCAAAGGAGAGTGATGTGAGCACGAACTCTACAAGTCCGTCAACCGCCTACAACTAATCCTTAAATCAGCCTTTTGCCAGAAGCATGCGCTCGTAGTTCTCCTTCTGTCGTCTGTTCACGAAAGTCGCTGCGTATTCGGAACTATATACCCAAGCGAACAAAAGATTACCTGAATATTTGTGAGTTGCTCTTTCAACGCATTTGCACGATGTCCAGCCACCAGACTGACCACTCTGTTATCTGCCTTTATGGCCATGAGGAGTCTCCGAAACTCCGCATCGACCTGCAAGAATCGGGCAGCCTCCTTTGGTAGAGCTCCTCTGCCTATGATGGGCTCTAAATATATCCATCGTCGCTGTACCGCCTGTAGACCATTCAGATTGTGGTCCAAGTCTGCTAGACGTTGCGCCCAAGCGTTGGCACGGTCTGCAAAGCTGCCAAAATATGGTGAATCTTGAAGTGATGCCAGAAGGGCCATATTGTCACCCACCTAAAAAAAGGAGATATTGGGTGGTAAATGAACTGGTTATACAGATCACCTTGAATAGACAAATTGTATTTAGTATCAAGCCGCATGTAATATCAGTACTTTA